AGTAACCACCCAATCCCTCTCTGGCACCCCCCAGTCTCCTCCCTGTACTCTGCTGGTGCCCACGCAGTGCAGGGGGTGGCAGCTGGCTGTCCCTGCAGCTCCAAGGCGGAGATGCGCCACACGTGCCGTGGCACCATCAACCTGGCCACAGCCAACATCACAGTGGAGGACTCGTGCAACTTCATCATTTCCAACGGCGGGGCGCAGACCTACCACCTGAAGGCCAGCTCTGAGGTGGAGCGGCAGCGCTGGGTCACGGCACTGGAACTGGCCAAGGCCAAGGCTGTCAAGATGCTGGAGGAGTCAGGTAGTGCCTAAACATTGGATCATAGAATCATAGAATGGCCTGGGTTGAAAAGGATCACAATGATCATGTAGTTTCAACCCCCCTGCTGTGTGCAGGGTCACCAACCAGCAGACCAGGCTGCCCAGAGCCACATCCAGCCTGGCCTTGAATGCCTGCAGGGATGGGGCATCCACAGCCTCCTTGGGCAACCTGTTCCAGTGTGTCACCACCCTCTGTGTGAAAAACTTCCTCCTAGTATCTAACCTAGACCTCCCCTGTCTCAGTTTGAAACCATTCCCCCTTGTCCTATCACTATCCACCCTCATCAACAGCCATTCCCCCTCCTGTTTATACACTTCCTTCAAGAATTGGAAAACCGCAGTGAGGTCTTCCCAGAGCCTTTTCTTCTCCAAGCTAAACAAGCCCAGTTCCCCCAACCTTTCCTCACAGGAGAGGTGCTCCAGCCCTCTGCTCATCTCAGTGCCCTCCTCTGGACCCGCTCCAAGAGCTCCACGTCCTTCTTGTCCTGGGTGCCCCAGGCCTGGACACGGTTCTCCGGATGGGGCCTCACAAGAGCCAAGTAGAGGAGGATGATCACCTCCCTCTCCCTGCTGGCCACCCCTTTTTTAATGCAGCCCAAAACACAGTTGGCCTTCCGGGCCATTGCCGCAGGCACAGCCTGCTACCTCCTTCCTTAACGCCCTGTCTTGCCACCAGATGACTCCGGCGACGAGTCGGTGTCCCAGACTGACAAGACGGAGCTGCAGAGCACTCTGCGCACACTGTCCAGCAAGGTGGAGGACCTGAGCACCTGCAACGACCTGATTGCCAAGCACGGCACGGCCCTGCAGCGCTCACTCAGTGAGCTGGAGAGCCTGCGCCTGCCAGCCGACAGCACTGAGAAGATCAAGCAGGTCAACGAACGCGCCACGCTCTTCCGCATCACCTCGAACGCCATGATCAATGTGAGTGACACCAGGGGACGGCCCCGCTCTGCTCCTTGCCACCACGGAGCTGATCCCATCCCACCTCCACGCAGGCGTGCCGGGATTTCCTGCTGCTGGCCCAGACCCACAGCAAGAAGTGGCAGAAGTCGCTGCAGCACGAGCGGGATCAGCGCATCCGCCTGGAGGAGACGCTGGAGCAGCTGGCCAAGCAGCACAACCACCTGGAAAGGGCGTTCCGTGGTGTCACCGTTCTGCCCGCCAGTGCTGCTGGCAGTGGTGGCTCTGCCAAAGGTACCTGAGCACAGCCTGGGGCCGACTGGGGGTGGAGGTGAGGCTGCTGTGGGGCGGCCAGTAGCAGGGAAGCCATGAGTGCTGCTGGGCATCCCAGTACCGCTGTCCCCTATCTTCTGTTCCACACCGTGCCCAAACTCTGCCCATCCACCACCCCACAGGGTGGCAGCAGGCACCCTTAAGAGTGCAGGCATACAGCCCCCTCTGTCCTTGTCACCTCCAGATCCCTGCTGCTCTGCAAAAGGAGACCTGAGTGATGAGGACGATGACAATGAGTTCTTTGATGCCCCGGAGATCATCACTGTGCCAGAGAGCATGGGCCACAAGTGAGTACAGGGGCTGCCCCCAGGGTGGACAGAGGCAGAGCTGGGCCTAATGCCAATCCCTGCCCACCCCAGGCGCACTGGCAGCAACATCAGCGGCACCAGCAGTGACATCAGCCTGGAGGAGCAGGTAACAGGTGGTGCTCCAGAGCTGAGCTAGCTCTGAGGATGCGGAGGTGAGTGTGGGGGAGTCACAGCGATGCTCGTCTTACCCCCTCAGTACAAGCACCAGGTGGAGGACACCAAGAAGGAGAAGAGAACTCGCATTCCCTACAAGCCCAACTATAGCCTCAACCTCTGGAGCATCATGAAGAACTGCATTGGGAAGGAGCTGTCCAAGATCCCCATGCCGGTGAGCAGGGACGCAGCCAGGGCCCGGCTGGTGGGGGCTGTGGGCCCTGTGCCCTCCTTTGACCTTTCACTCCCCTCCAGGTGAACTTCAACGAGCCTCTGTCCATGCTGCAGCGTCTGACGGAGGACCTGGAGTACCACGAGCTGCTCGACCACGCAGCCAAATGTGAGAGCTCGCTGGAGCAGCTGTGCTACGTGGCTGCCTTCACCGTCTCCTCCTACTCCACCACCGTCTTCCGCACCAGCAAACCCTTCAACCCACTCCTGGGGGAGACCTTTGAGCTGGACCGCCTGGAGGAGAACGGTTACCGTTCCCTCTGTGAGCAGGTACCGCTGCCCCGCACCGCCAGCACCGGAGCCAAGTGCTGCAGCCGGGCTGAGCGTCCTCTCTGTCCTCACAGGTGAGCCACCACCCGCCGGCTGCCGCCCACCACGCTGACTCCAAGCATGGCTGGACGCTGCGTCAGGAGATCAAGATCACCAGCAAGTTCCGGGGGAAGTACCTCTCCATCATGCCTCTGGGTGAGCTGTGGGGGCTGAGGTGCAGCTGGGGGCTGCGCCCTGTCCAGAAGGTGACGATCTGACGCCCCTCTCCCCTTTCAGGCACCATCCACTGCGTCTTCCACGCCTCTGGCAACCACTACACGTGGAAAAAGGTCACCACCACCGTGCACAACATCATCGTGGGAAAGCTGTGGATCGACCAGGTGGGGCGCTGGGCTGTCCCTCGTGCCTCAGTTTCCCTGCAGTGCAGGGAAGAGGTGCAGGGTGGAGCTGAGCGCATCTTTGTGGTCTCTTGTAGTCGGGTGAAATTGAAATTGTCAACCACAAGACGGGTGATAAGTGCAACCTCAAGTTTGTCCCCTACAGCTACTTCTCCCGGGATGTGGCTAGGAAGGTAGGGACCGGTGCGCCCTGTGGGGTGGCAGCAGGGGAGCGCATGGGTCACTGGGGGGTCTCCGTCCCATCAGGTCACGGGGGAGGTGATGGACCCTGCGGGGAAGGTGCACTTCCTCCTGCTGGGCACCTGGGACGAGAAGATGGACTGCTACAAGGTGGCAGCGGGCAGCGGGGACAACGGGGCTGAGGGCCGGCAGCGGCTGCACGAAGCAGAGGAGAGCCGCGTGCCGCTGTGGAAGAGGAACCAATTGCCGTGAGTTGGGGGCATGGAGGGGCCAGGACAGGGGCTGTGAGCCCCCCGGAGAGGGGCTGAGCTCTGTGTGCGTGTAGGAAGTACGCAGAGAACATGTACTACTTCTCGGAGCTGGCGCTGACGCTCAACGCGCCCGAAAGCGGCACGGCGCCCACCGACAGCCGCCGGCGCCCCGACCAGCGCCTCATGGAGAACGGCCGCTGGGATGAGGCCAACGCCGAGAAGCAGCGCCTGGAGGAGAAGCAGCGCCTGGCCCGCAAGCGTCGCGAGGCCGAAGCTGCCCGTGCAACCGAGGATGGTAAGGAGGGACTGGGGGACCGCAAGCCCCCCTGTCGCCGCGGCGCTGAGCCCTGGCTGTGCCCGCAGGCACCCCGTATGACCCCTACAAGCCGCTGTGGTTCGAGCGCAAGAAGGACCCGGTCACCCAGGAGCTGGCGCACGTCTACCGGGGGGGTTACTGGGAGAGCAAGGAGAAGCAGGACTGGAGCGGGTGCCCGGACATTTTCTGAGCACGCCGTGCTGTCGGCACCCACCCACCCACCGGGGTTGCCTTAGCCCATAGCCACACTGACCTTGATGCCGGGGTGGGGAGTGGGAGCCAAGCAGGCCCCTCCTGACCCTGGGAGCTCCCCCCCTCTGCCCTCATACGTGCACTCAGCCCCGGTGCCCTGGAGCAGGAGCGGCTCCCAGGGAGCGCATCGGGGCGAGCCCGAGGCTGGCCTTGGTCTCTCTCCCCCCACCCCGTTATTTTAGCCCTCTGCTGGGCATTCGGGTTCTGTCGGGGGCAGGGGGCTAGGCTCACTCGCCCCACAATGGTTATGATGTAGAGAGCTGTGGGGGGGAGGCACCCTCTCCATGCTTGCCCCTGTGCCCCCAGCACGGTGCCTTCCTCCTGGGGCATTTGGGGCAGTGGGGGCACCGCAGTGGGGCAGGGACCCCTCCTCCCTTTCCCCACGCCTAAACACTACAGCAGCCTGAGGATGGTGGGGGGGACTCTGCGGGGCTGAGCTGACCCCGTGAAGGGGGGGGGGGGGGGGTGGAGGCAGTGAGTGGGGGCATATGATGCCTTTTTTTTTTTTTTTTTTTTTTTCCTTTTTTCATTTTTTTTTTTCCCCTCCCCCTCTTTATCTCTAGGAAAACAGCTAAATTAAAATCTGTGAATGCCCCAACCACTGTGTGTGTGTGTGTGTGCGTGTGCTGGTTTTGAAGGGTTCCCCCTGCAGGGTTTGGGAGAGCAGGCACTGTACTCTGGAGGCCCTCTGAGATCTGTCACTGCTGGTTCACAGGACTCCTCCAGTCCCAAAAGAGGGGGCAGCCGCTGAGCAGATACTTGAACTCTGGACCATCAGATTAAGAGGTCTAATTCTCTGTTGACTGAGCTACCTGGTTTAGTTTCTGGATGAAAGTATCACCATCGGGAGGTCCTCTCTTTTTCTTTCTCCTCGTCACCTGCTGCAGGGTCCCATCTCCTCTGCCCACCATCTGACCCTTGCAAGAGCTATGTGTCCTCCCCCAGTGCAGTTCTCAAGGCACCTGGGATCTCCTTGTCCCTTTTTGGGGTGGCAGTCCCTTGGGCCCCCTTATAGTAGCTACCCCCACCCCACCCCATATCCTGCCTCTCCCCTCCCCCAAGGACCACCACCATCCTGCCAGTCTGAGCAAGTAGCTTTATTGGGGGGCCCCTGCCCCACTGTGTTTCCCATCATTTGCTCTGAGCCCTACTGATGGCTGGAGCAGCGCTAGGGGGAGGAGGCAGCCCTGGGCCCCCTGCTGCCCCACAGCTTCATTACCGGGAGGACAGCATCATGACGAACTCTGTGGAGCGATGTGGCAGGCGTCGGGCACAGGGACACGTGTCCCAGGCCGTGCCCAATGGGGATGAGGGGAAATAGGGCTGGACCTCACCATCGAAGTCCACACGGCCGTCCCCGTTGAGGTCCACATCCTGCAGGATCTCATCAACCTCCTGTGCCTTCAGCTGCTCGCCCAGCAGCGCCGCGATGGCCTGCCGCATCTCTGCACTGCTGATCTCCCCGTCCCCGTTCACATCGAACTGCAGCATACACGCCATGCCTCTTTCCCACCTCGTCCCTCAACCCCTGCTTTTCCTGTGTTCGTTGTCCGTGGCACACCGGTGGTGCCTCTCGTGGCCATCGTCCCCTCGTGGTCTTCCCATGTCTGTGGTGTCCCTGTGGTCACCATTCCCCAGTCCCCTCCCAGTCTTTCCATGGTTGCTGTCCCTCCCACACCTGTGCTCATCCCCATGGCTGTGGTGTCCCTGTGTCAGTGCCACTTGTGTCTCCATGCCCACAGTGTCCCAATGCCTGTCCCTGTGGCCCTGGTGTCCCCATGCCCGCAGTGTCCCCGAGGCTGCAGTATCCCCGTAGCCATACCTCACGGAAGGCGATCTTCAGCTCCCTCACACCCACCATATGAGCCGTCTCCTCCCGCAGCTTCGGCCCCATCATCTGCACAAAGTCCTCAAAGTCCACACGGCCACCCACTGTACCAAGGGAAGGAACAGCCTCAGTGCCCCAGCCCTGTCCCCATATTCCCATGCCACTGCCCTGGCCCTGCAGAGGCCATCCCCGCACTCACTCCTCATCTTGATGTGCTGGGAGATCTCGATGAGCTCCATCTCAGTGGGCATATATCCCAGCGTGCGCATGCAGGCACCCAAGTCCTTGTAGCTGATGAAACCATCCTGGTCGGTGTCAAACTCCTTGAAGGCATCCAGCAGCTCTGTTCCGTGGGCACAGGGACCCATCGGGAATGGGACCATGGCACCCCACCCCAAGGCACTTTGCCCCACAGGACCCCTTCCCACAGCAGATTCTTCTGTGGCATGAGTCCCCATATGGCACAACCTTTCGCGGCACCGTGACCCACAGCAACATGGCCCACAGTGGCACCTTGTCCCATGACAGGTCCTTCCATGATGCATCCCGACATAATCCATGGCACTGCAACCCATGATACTCTGTCCTATAGCACCGTGCCCAAGGGCAAGTCCCTCCATGGCATATGTCCCCATCGTGCAACATTCCATGGCACGAGCCTCCATGGCACTACATCCCACGGCACCACGTCCCATGGCAGATCCCTCCATGGCACACATCTCCGTGGCACCGTGTCTCATAGCACCACAACAGCACCATGTCCCACAGCATCATGTCCCATGGTGACTACCTTCACATCTACATGTTCCATCATAACACTTGGCACCATGTCCCATGGAAGGTCCCACCACGGCACACGTCCCCATGGCGCACTGACCCATGGCCCTTGTCCCACAGCACTCTGTTCTACGGCAGGTCCTTCCTTGGCATTTATCCCATGGCACCACACACCCATGTCCCCCCATGCCCCGACCCCACTGCTCACCATCCAGCTCCTCCGGTGACAGCTCCCGCTCCTGGGACAGGGCACAGAGGGGTAGTGGTGGTAGAATCAGACCTGGCTCAGCCCCCCACCCCACCCAAGCAATCCACAGTGTCACCTTTGTTAAGCGTGGAACAAAATTAACTCCCACAGGAGGGATTAGAGGGATTGAAGACAAAGCCCTGCCTGGGCCCCCTGCCCGCCGACCCCATCGGACCCTCTCCCTGTCAGCCCCTCTCCCTGCACACACCCTGATGCCCCCAGCCCAGGACCTCTGAGCTCCAACAGAGTTCTGCCCCATTGCTGGATGTTAGGTATTTCCTGAACTGACAGGGCAGAGATCCCCAAGCCCAGCCCCCCTGCTCCCCCCTCCCAGTGAACCCCAATCCCTCCCCAGTCACACACAGAGGGAGGGGAGGATGTCGGTGAGCCCCCAGACCTCCCCACTCTGCCCAATGGTACCCATATGGCACCACGTCCCCTCCACCCCTGTTGAACCCAGCCCCATCTCCAGCTGCCCATATCCCCTCCATCCATTGTGCCCCCGTGCCCCCACCTTGCCAAACACCATGTTGAGGAATGGTGAATACGCCTTGGTGCTGGCAGCGTGGGGGTCCCCGGCCCCTTTCTTGCTGTTCTTCCGCCCGTGGCATCCGTGCTGGGTTTCAGTGTTGGGGCTGCCCGGGGGGCCACCCGCCTCAGGGGCTTTGGGGGGCCTCTCGTCCACCTCCCCCTGCTTCCCTTTGCCTGAGGCTTCAGTGTTCCTGGGAGCCCCCTTGTCCCCCCTCGAGCGTGGCATGGGGCTGAGGGCTGGTGGTGGCAGCAGGAGCAGGGCCGGGGGTCAGCCAGCCCTTAAGAAGGAGGCCAGGAAATCCTCTTACCTGCCCCCTCCCCCCAGCCCCGGGAAGGCAAAGCCAATTAGCAGTGATTACCATAGCAGGAAATGAGCCACCCACTGTGGGCTCACACATGGGCTGCCCACCTCCCCACACTCACACCGAGCCAACTCCAGCACCCCAACGCTACCACCCGTGTCTCCATCCCAGACACCTGTTGGTCCCCATTCTTACATCCCCACATCCAGCCCCCCAGGTATCTCCTGGCTGCAGCAGGGACAGTGTGACAGCAAGCAGCAGCACCTGTCCCCTCCCCAGTCCCTGTGTCCCCACGATAGCATCGCCCCAGCTCAGCATATGTGGGCAGTGCCTGGCAGGAAGATGCCATCTTGGGGACACCATGGCACTGTTCCCAACATGGCCACCCCAGAAGGGTCCATCTGCCCAGAGACGTTCAACCTTGGTGCTGGCAGCCCACAAGGGCCATCCTATAGTACCAGCACACAGGGAATGACAATCCTGGTGGGGGGATGGGCAACCATCCCCAAAAAAGATACTGGAGCCGCTTCCTCCCTCCACGGCAGCAGCTTCCTGTCCCCCCTCCAGGAAATTAGATTGGGGGTGTCACTGCCAGGGAGGAGCCCCTCCCACCCATCCCCACATATAGGGCAGCCCAGGAGGTCCCCAGTGCAAGCCTACACCCACACGGCTGTTACAGTAGGTCAGATGCTATTTATTGGCCTGGTCTATGGGGCAGGAATGAGATGGGGCACACGAGCGGGATGCCGCATAGCATAAATGAGAGGGAATGCTGTGGGGTAAAGTGGGGAAGGAGAGGCAAGAGGGAGGCCAGGTGTGATGGATGGGGAGAGTGGGACAGTGAGATGGGGATGGTGAGCAATGGGGAGGGCTCCAAAGGGATGGGAGCTATAGGGTAGGGAACTATGGAGGACATGCAAAGGAGCTACGTTTGGGATTCAAATAATGGGGAGCAATGGCAGGGATGCAATGGGATGGTGAACAACAGGGAGAGGGGACAATGAGAGAAGGGGTGATGTGAGGGGATCCAAAGGGACGAGAATCTATGGGAGCCATCCAGATGATGGGGAGCAATGGGGGGGTTCGATGGGATGGCAGTCTACGGAATGGAAAGCAACGTGGCAGAGATAACACTACGGGGAGTTATATCCAAAGGGATAAATACAGCGAAGAGGATAAAACGAGGTGGGTGGGGACTGATGGGGACTGACGGGTGCAATGGGAGGGATTTGGAGGAATGGGGACCTATGGGATGGGAAGCAATGGGGGAGAATGCAGCGAGACGGGGAGCTATGGAGGAGACGTCATGGGAGGGGGAGCTATGGGCAGCGGGCCGTCTGCGGGGTTCCAGCTGGTGGCAGCCACGCTGGGCGCCTACACGACTGCCATCGCGCCCTTCCAGCTGGCCCGGCTGCTGAGCACCCGCCGGCTGTACGCCCTGGGGCTGGCCTTGCACCTGGGCAGCTGTGTCAGCTCCTACCTCGACCTGCCGCTGGACACCAGCGTGGGGCACCGCGCCGCCAGCGCCGCGCGGGGACGGGAAAGCGGCCGACACCGGGACGCCCAGCGCCGCCGCCGCCGCGCCCCTCACTGACCACGCCCATCTTGTAACCACGCCCCCAAACGGGTGGCCCCGCCCCCGAGCTCTCCGTGCCGCAGTGCGCAGGCGCGGCGCCCCGCTCACTTCCTGTGCCCCCGCCCGCTCCCGGCTCGGCGCCGCTCCGTACCGCCGCCCCGCCTCCTGCCCGCCCGCCCCGGCCCCGGCCCCGGTCCCGGTACCGGCACCGGATCCGGCCCGGCCGCCGGTGAGTGCGGGGCGGGCGGCTCCCGGGGCTCTCCCGCGCTGTACCCATCCCCACGCCGCTCCCTCGGCCCTTCTCCCGTCGGTGTCCCTGTTGGGCCGGTCTCTGTCCGCATCCCCATAACAGAAAGGCGATCCCGGCCCCATCCGTGTCCCCTTCGGGGCGACCCCCGTCCCTGTGAGGACCGTCCGCGTCCCCGTCCCTGTCCCCACCGGAGCAGTCCCTGTCCCCGTCCTGGGAAGGACGGTCCTGTCCCCATCCCTGTCCGCAGTGAGGCTCTCCCTGTCTCAGTAACCGTTTCTATCCCCACAGCAGCCATCCCTGTCCTCATCCACAAAGGACAATGCTGTCCCTATAGGGACAATCCCTCTCCCCGTCTCCATCCCTGTCCCCATCCCTATTATGGAAGAACTGTCCTGGTGCTACAGGAGCAATCCCTGTCCCCATCCCTGTTCCCACAGAGCTGATCCTTATTCCCATCCCTGTCCTAATACACAAAGGACAATCCTGTCCCTATAAAGCAATCCCTTTTTTCCCATCCTTGTCCCCAAAGTAGCCATTTCTGTCCTCATCTCCATCCTTGTCCCTATCCCCATCCTGGGAAAAATAGCCCTGTCCCCATAGGAAAACTGCCTTTCCCATCCCTCTCCAGGGAGGAATGATCCTGTCCCCTGTCCACATCTCTATCTCCATAGGGATGACACCCACCTGACCCGGAAAGAGAACTTCCCATCCCAGTCCCTGTCCCCATTCCTCCCTGTCCCCACGGAGGCAATCCCTGCCCCCATCCACGCCCCACACCCACAGGGCAGGGTTTGTTTGCCCAGTGCCGGTTTCCCGCTTGTGCAGGGAGGAGCACCGTTGCCCTTTACCCAGGGCGGGTGATGGGGCTGAGCCCCCCGCTCAGTGCCACCATCCTAGGGCTGCTCCTTTGGAGAGCTGTTTTGGGGTCCCCCCGGTGACACGGGGCCGGGGTGCGCCCCAGCCATGTCGTTCCGTAAGGTGGTGCGGCAGAGCAAATTCCGGCACGTCTTCGGGCAGCCGGTGAAGACAGAGCAGTGCTACGATGACATCCGTGTGTCCCGCGTCACCTGGGACAGCACCTTCTGCGCTGTCAACCCCTCCTTTGTAGCCATCATTGTGGAGGCCAGCGGCGGCGGAGCCTTCTTGGTGCTGCCCCTGCACAAGGTGGGCTGGGGGTGGGGATGGCGCTGGGGATGGCTTGGGATGGGGACACGATGGAAACTGAAGTGGCTTGGGATGGGATGTGTTGGGGAGAGGGATGGGATGGGATAGGATAGAATGGAGATGGCCTGGGATGGGGACGGGGGTGGGATGGGAGGGGGAAGGCTTGGGATGGAGTTTGGATGGGGACAGGGATGGAGTGGGGACGGGATGGGGAATGGGCTGGGTTGAGATGGAGATGGGGCTGCGTTGAAATGGGGCTGTGGCTGTGTTGAGATTGATGGAGATGGGTGTGTGGAGCTCAGATGGAACAAGGATTGACCACCTCTCACACTGTCCCTACATCCCCAGACTGGCCGCATTGATAAGTCGTATCCCACGGTGTGTGGGCACACAGGCCCTGTGCTAGACATCGAATGGTGCCCCCACAACGATCACGTCATTGCCAGTGGCTCCGAGGACTGCACTGTCATGGTGAGGGCTGGATGGGAAAGGGGTTACTGGGATGTTGTGGCACAGAGGACACCTTCTCGCTGTTCACTCCCCGTAGGTGTGGCAGGTGCCTGAGGGGGGCCTTGTGCAGCCGCTCACAGAGCCAGTGGTGGTGCTGGAGGGGCACTCGAAGCGTGTGGGCATCATCGCCTGGCACCCCAGCACCCGCAACGTGCTGCTCAGTGCAGGTATGGGGACAGTGCGGGGTCGCAGGGTGCTGGGTGACGCTGGGACAGGTGGTTGAGCTGCATCCATACCGTGCAGGCTGTGACAACGTGGTGCTGATCTGGAACGTGGGTACGGGAGAGGAGCTGTACCGCCTGGAGGGCCTGCACCCTGACCTCATCTACAGCGTGAGCTGGAGCCGCGATGGGAGCCGTTTCTGCACTGCCTGTAAGGACAAGAGTGTGCGTGTCATCGACCCCCGCCGCGGCACCGTGCTGCTGGTAAGTGACACAGCAGAGTGGCAGTGTCCCCATGTCCCTAGGGTGCTTCCCATCCCTTGTCCCCTGGTGCTCCCTGCTGTCCTTGAATGCTTGCAATTCCTTGTCCCCAGATGTTCACTGATACTCCCCATCATAGAATCAGAATCACAGAATGGCCTGGGTTGAAAAGGGCCACAATGATCATCTAGTTCCCACCCCCTGCTATGTGCAGGGTCGCCAACCAGCAGAGCAGGCTGCCCAGAGCCACATCCAGCCTGGCCTTGAATACCACCAGGGATGGGGCATCCACAGCCTCCTTGGGCAACCTGTTCCAGTTTGTCATCATCCTTTGAATGTCCCCATCCCTCATCCCTGATGTACTTCTCCTATCTCCCTGACACTCTGCATCTCTTAGATGTCCCCATGCCTTGTCCCCAGAGTGCCTTCCCTGTTTCCCCCCATGCCCTGCATCCCCTGGGATGTCCCTACTCCTTGCCCCTCAGGCACACCACATCCTTCCCTGTATCCTTCGTGTGCCCCCAGTTCCTTGTCCTCAGTTGCTGCCTGGTGCCCTCCATTGCCTTGCATTCCTCAGGTGCCCCCATCCCTTGTCCCCAGGATGCTTCCCATTCCTCCTTGCTATCCTGGATTCCTTGAGTATCCCTGCCCCTTGTCACCAGGGCACATTGGATCCTTCCCTGATTCCCTGTGTCTCTTTGTCCCCAGGTGCTCCCTGCACCTCTTGGGTGTCCCCCCGCATCCCTTTGTCCCTGGGACACTTTTCCATCCCTCCCCAGTATCCCACATCCATGGGGTCTCCCCATCATCCCTTGTTTGCGGGGCACTTTTGCTGACCCCTGTGTGCCCCATGCTGCACCCCACCTGTCTCATGCCGCTGCCCTCATGCTGTGCTCCCACCCTGCAGGAGAAAGAGCGGGCACACGAGGGTGCACGCCCCATGCGTGCCATCTTCCTGGCTGATGGCAAGATCTTCACCACTGGCTTCAGCCGCATGAGCGAGCGGCAGCTAGCGCTGTGGGACACGGTGAGGGGCTGCAGGGGTCCCTTGGGGGACCGTATGGGGTGCAGCATGGGGCTGACGCTCTACCCCCCAGGAGAACCTGGAGGAGCCCATGGGTCTGCAGGAGCTGGACTCTAGCAACGGGGCCCTGCTGCCCTTCTACGACCCTGACACCAATGTGGTCTACGTCTGTGGCAAAGTATGACCCCACGCCTCCCTCCCTTGCCCCCTCCTCACCCACCCCATACTCACCAGCTGCCTGTAGGGCGACTCGAGCATCCGCTACTTCGAGATCACAGAGGAGCCACCCTACATCCACTTCCTCAATACATTCACCAGCAAGGAGCCGCAGCGCGGCATGGGCTGGATGCCCAAGCGTGGGTTGGACGTCAGCAAGTGTGAGATTGCCAGGTGAGGCGGAGGGTGCCAGGGTGTTCCGATGTCCTCCCCAGTATCCCCATATTTCCTCTTCTAATGACCCTTTCCCCCCTGCCTCATCAGGTTCTACAAGCTGCATGAGCGTAAGTGTGAGCCCATCATCATGACGGTGCCAAGGAAGGTAAGTGGGGACTGGTGGGGGGAGGTTGGTTTGAGGGAGACCCTGGGAATGGTGATGCCAAGGAGTGATAGGTGGGAACCCCTGGGTAAGTGGGGGGAGGGGGGCTTGGGTAATGCTTAGTAGCTGGGTGGGGGTCCTTGGGTAGTATGCAGTGATTGAAGAGGGGTCTCTATGGGGGTCCCCGGGCAGGGCAGAGCAACGGGGGGCTCTTGGGGATCCTTAGGGGAAGTGGGGGAGGGGGGTCTGTGTGCAGGACTTTCTGCATTGTGGCTTGGTGGGGGACCCAGATCAGGTGGGTGGGATCCAGAGCAGGGCACAGTAACTTGGGAGGGGTCTCTTGGTGGGCTGCGGGCTCCCTGGGCAAAGCAGGCAGGGGTCTGTTGGGGGCCCCTGTTCAGGCTGGGTGCGGTCTCCACTCACGTTGCAGCAGATGGGGAGGTCCCTGGGTAGAAGCCCCTGCACAGGGGCTGGATGGGGTTCCTAGCTGGGCGGAGCTCCCTGGGTAGGACAGGTACCCATGCAGGGGTGCCCTGAGTGACGCTGTTTGTGGGGCGCAGTCGGACCTATTCCAGGACGACCTGTACCCCGACACGGCGGGCCCCGACCCGGCGCTGGAGGCCGAGGAGTGGGTGGCGGGGCAGACAGCGGGGCCGTTGCTGGTGTCCCTGCGCCAGGCCTACGTCCCCAGCAAGCAGCGGGAGCTGAAGGTGAACCGCCACTCCCTGCTGCACGACGGCCGCTCCGCCACCACCGCCGCCGCCGCCACCGCCAGCGCTGCGCCGGCGCCCGTCGCCCCCAGCTCCCGTCTCAGCGCGCCCCCGGCCCTGGGCACCGGGACCGCCGCCCCGGCGGTGAGTGCAGGGGGCGTGGCCTTTGGAGGGGGGGCGTGGCCTTTGGAAGGGGGCGTGGCCTTTTGGTAGCGCGGGCCTGCTTTCGTAAGACGTGTTTGCTGAAGGGGGCGTGGACTTGGGTGTGGTGGGCGTGGCTTTGAGCCACGTGACTTACAAAGGGGGCGCGGTCTTGAGTGG